TATTATTATTATTATTACATACCTACTTAAATAATGTCTTATGAATTATGATTAATGTCACGTCATTCCGAAGTAATAACTACAGCTTACTGCCTTAATAGTGTGCGCAATTCGAAAATACGCGATCCGTCGATACGATTTAATATTATATACGATATAGGTAAGTACCGAAGTTGTATCATATTATTATGATTTCCAGCAGTTTTCAGAGTGCAATGCAGTCCCCTGAGTGTATAATATAATAATATTTAATGTACCTACACATAAATCGCTTATTATGACAATAATGATAATAACGATAATCTGCAGCAGTCGGTGACCTTAACCACAGTCTGAAAAAAAATTAACGAAAAAACAAAAACAAATAGGTACAAACGCAAAGAGGCAATTAAAATAATTATAATCGTTACGTCCAAGGATAAGACGCCGCACTCCCGAATTTCCGCGCCGTGATAAGCGATATCGGCGATAACGATTATAAGTCCATAATATAGTAATASCATCTATATACAGTGTACTTCAGAAGCATTGCCACCGGCTTTTCGCGTAACAGACGTAAAAAACGAATGTCATTAGGGAAAAAGAAGAACATGACACGCCAGCAATATATAAGGACCTACCGTTTGCCGATGTCAAATCATTCGTTTCGCATCCCTCGGTCCAAGTGGTCCAAACCATAAAAGTTTTGTTCGTTATTAGCAGTACCTACCGATARTAAAATAATTACCTATATCCGTTTTTATTCGCGTCCAATTTACGAGACAAACGAACGACTCGTTTAACAACAACTCATCGGCAACTATATACATCGTACAAAATGGCATTTTGCAAATTAACGGTAAGTAAATACAAAATGTGTGACGGAAAAATCCTATTGTTGCAGGCAGCATATTTTTTCATAACAACAATATAACATATAATAATATACACARTAATATTCTCGAGATGAACATAAAGCTGTTTTTCTATAATCCCTGCAATAATAGACGTCTATCAGACTCGCGAATAATCACTTCATTTTATTTTTTATTTATTTATTTTTTTTGCCAAGTTTTGTTTTGCCTTGCTCATTGTGTCGGTCTTCGCCGAAAAGGATGCACCGAAAACGGCCACCGAAAACGAGAGGGTGAAGAAAGCTGTAATAATCCCACCACCTGCTTCAGGTACGTTTGTATATATGCTTATATATAGTGTTATACTGTTATAGATGTATGGTTAGGATTATGTTTACGACCCAAACAAATATTCTTAAAAAAAACTCGTGGAAATAAAACTTAAAAAAAGTATTTAATTTAAAATACGTTATATAGATATGTTTTTGAATTAATGAAATTAATTTGATTTTTGGTTTACACAACGAATACAATAATTTATATAAAAAAAGTTATTGTTTAAGCAGTGAGTAAATTTACGTGCTTGTCTCCAGCTCCACCCAATTAACTATTTACAATTTTTTTTCGTACAATTGCATTCCTATTAATTCCTATAGGCAATAATATAAGTATCAGTATYATAGAACCCAAAAAATCTTAATAATAGGTATATTTCGTAAAAATATTATGCATTTAATTGTTATTTTTCTCTCAGACTTTGAATTCATTTCCCAAAACTCGTTCTTTATAATAAAATCGAATTAAACGGACGAGTGTGTAGGATCGAAAGAACAATAAATAAACGAAAWATGTATAAGTATATTAATAATTCCTAACCATCATAATATTATTATAGGTAGGTAGGTACTATAACTTATTCACTCATTACAACTTTCCCTGTTGGTAGGTATATGTGTAAATTATAATAATTTTATATGCGCCCGATTATTAAGTTCAACCACAGTTCAGCGTTAAAGGAGTAAATCACAGGCGACTGCTACCTACCTTTCAAATCAGATTAAAGTCTCAAACTTTACACTATTAAATACACGATTCAAATAATTTGCCTGCAATGTTTGAAAGTCAAATAACGGCGGTTTATAATTCGTTCTACTGTGAAAACAGATGAACACTATGTTGGTTAATATAATAATAATTATAAGCAAAGCCATTTTATCGGGTATTGGACTACAAAATCAATAAAGTCAGTATGCGTAGTCAGACTACGATTTATATCATATATATATGTATACAGGGTGATTCTTATTTCAAAAACACTCATTATTTAAAAAGTATTGACTTTTTTCAATTTTTTTTTTCAAAATTGTAGATTTACACTCTTATTGAATTGTTTATTTTTTTTATTTTTCACCCTAATATTTATTAAATAAACCAGTATCAACTTTTGATTTTCAAATGGTTACCTATACTTAAAATTTCATAAATTAATAAATCTATTTTTTTTTTATTAATTATTACGTTAAAATTTCGAATTTAGCGCTAGTAGTTTATGAGTTATAGGTATTTAAAGTTTAGATTGGCAGAGTGGAGTGGTACGG